TAAAAACAAAAGATGTTTTTTTAATATTTTTCCAGGCAGCAATAAATTTATTATTTGATGAACGAACAATGCCAATTCCATGTTGCAAATTTTCAGAAGTAAACAAATTTTGATTTGTCGATTTTCTTATTTTGATATTTTTGTATTAGTATATGACACCAGCAAATACACCAGCTACACCACCAAATTTTCCTGAAACACTTCTTTCATTTAATAAATTGTCTACATCAGGTGGAACAACAGGAACACCATCATCATCATCATCATCATCAACAACAACAAATGATAATCAAATTTCTTCAACTACGACAACAACAACAACAACAACAAATCATTCATTATCCTCATCACCAATGAACATGACAATGATGATGATGATGGATGGAACAGCTTAAAATAATTAATCAACTATTCTTTTATTTCTTTAACATTTTATTTTAATAAGAAATATTTCAATCTAGAAAATAAATCTTGGGATAGAACGGGCGTTTTATTTCGTAACGTTAGAATTTTTTTTCTTTTTTTGTTATATCTTCTCACATCTCAATGTAAGTACTACAAACTATATGAAAAGAAAGAAAAGAAAAGAAGCAAAAAAACATAAAAGTTAGTTTATGCTTTTAAATCATCAATATATGGCATTTTGTTAAGATTTCCAATAGAAACTAATGTTGGTTGTTTTCCATTTAACATTTTCTTTGCTAATTGATTTATTGAATCATGTGAATAATCACCTTGTTCTAATGATCCAACAATTGATTGAACATCTGTTGATCGATCACTAATGTCAGGTTGACTTATCATTTTTGAAAATACATCTGAAGATTGTTCAGATGTCATTTGAAGATTTACTTGAAGTTTTTTCCTTTAAAAACAAAAAGTCAAATTATACAAAATATTTATAAATTAGAAAATATACTTAGCAACAGTAACATCATCTTTACTAATACCATTTTTTAAAACTTTATTAAATTCATTCCATACTGCTTTAACAACTTTGTCTGTATCATTTTTATCACACATGATATGAACACCAAATAAACCTGATTCAGTATAATGAAGATTAAATGATGAAACTAAACAAGGTGAATTAGCAACGGCTTGAGCAGCACGTTGAAGTCGATTTGATCCAGCGGACCATTTTATATTTGGACCATTACCAAGTACTTCATGTAATAATGAACTTGTTAAAATACCTTTTTCATCTTTTGAACTAAAAATAATCTCATGTTTTTTTAATTAATATAAAAAATATGTTGGTTTTTTTTTCTTATTCAAAATTACCTAACACCTTCACATGCTAATGCAATATGAACTAAACTTGATTGAGTATCATGTCGAAGTTCTCCTGAAATAGAATATTTTTAATTAGAGAAAAAAAGAAGAAAGTAAATTAAATTCAAACCTCCTTTATATTTTGATGGTTCAGGTTCCGAATCAATTAACTTAAGATTTCCAAAACCTGGTGTATAAACACAATCGAGCGGTGAAAAACGAAATTTATCGGCTAATTGAACAAGTGTTGCATGATTACAACCAGTTCCAACTAAAGATATGCGACTTGGTGTATAATAATGAGAATGAAACGTATACATCTTAAAAAAACAAATATATAAAGACAAAATAAAGAAAAAAATAAAATCTTTTACGTGTTTATGTGATAGTTTTTTCATCATATCAGGACAAATTGATAATGATCGGCTTAAACCACCTTTGAATGCTGCTTCATGAAGTAAATCATTTAATTCTAAAAAGATTTATTTTATTAATAAAATGAAACAATAAACAAGAAATCATACGTAATTCAGGTGATTGTAAATAAAGTTTATGATCAATTTCTAAACGTTCTCGTTCGTCATGAATTTCGTGTGGTTTAAACATTGGATAACAAACAATTGGAATCAAAAATTGTGCTCCATGTGTTCTGAAATAATGAAATAATAATTAGTTAATTCATTTTGTTTTTCAAAACTTAAATACATACAATTCACTACGAAGACCTTCAATTGAATAAATCATTTGTTCTCGTGTTTGTACACATCTATTTAATAACAAATATATATATATATATGTATTCAATTAATTTCATTTCTAATTTACTTAAAATTTGCACCGAGACGTTCCAAATTTTTTGTTAGACCAAGTCGACTAACATATTTCGTGCTCTAAATAATTTATATCAATAAACTTTATTGTACAAAAATAAATAGGATTTGATTAGTCTATGGAAAATCTATTCATTTTCAGTTATTACAATTCTATCTTAGTCTTGAGAAATAGTATTTCTTTCTTTTTTTAAATGAAATCTTTAATTTTCAATTACCATATTTGAAAAGACTCGAAGAAGTGTTGTAACACCTCGACTATCATACGGTTCATATTTTGCTCCGGCTTCAACAACAGCTGCAACACGAAAAACTGGTGAATTGTTTTCCATTGAAGCCACAGTTAATCCATTTTGTAATTTAGTTACCTGTAAATATATACATACAATCTTGGTATAAATAAAATTTTAACTTACATTAATACTTTCTTTTGGTAAATTAACCCGTTGTGGTATTCCATAATGACCAGATTTTGTTTGAGGCGCTTTTTTTTGACTTGCAGTTGAAGCAACAGCAGCTGATGATGATGATGCTCGACGCTTTAAAAAAGAAATAATTCTTTGTAAATACGAATAATAATTTAATTAACTAACCAGAGCATTAAAACTGTACTTGCAAGTTGCCATCGACATAAATAATAATAATAAAAAAATGGATAAATAGACGAAGAATATATTTAAACCATAAAAAGAATATTTCGTCCTCGATCAACTCAAAAAATATTTTTCATTGGTTAATCGATATCGACCAATAGTATTTCTAGTTTTATCTAACTTTTCGATGTCTTTGAAACATTGTTTTTCCTATCGCTTTGTTCAACTTTTATTTAATAATGAACATCAGTTAAGATATCTATCATCTTCAATAAAAAAAATTAAAATGAGTAATCAAAAGAAAACAAATCAACCATCAATTGCGTATGAAGTTTTTTACTTATTTTTTGTTTTAATAAATTTTGTTTTAGTTCATTTTTTACGAAAAAAGATCATGCACCAATAATTTCACCAAGAAAAGAAATTGTCACATCTCCAATTCGTATAAATAATAAAGAACCTGTTGTATCACCATCATCAGATTCTGAAGATAGAATTCTTCCTACAAAACGATCAAAAAAACGTCTTTTAAGTTTTGATGAAAGTGATAATGAACAAAAAAGTACTTCATCTACTGAAAATAAGAAAAAAACACCAATAAAAGCTGTTAAACAAATGAAAACTGTTGACACAAAACCTGAAATTAAAGAAGAAAATAAGAAAAAAACACCAACAAAAACTATTAAACAAGTAAAAAGTATCGATACAAAAGCTGAAATCAAAGAAGAAAATGATAAAAAAACACCAATAAAAACTGTTAAACAAACGAAAATTATTGATACGAAAGCTGAAATTAAAGAAGAAAATAATGATACAATCATTAAAATTGAACAAACTACAACTGTTCCTATCGAACAAAAAATGTAATTGATTTTATCTTTCGGAAAATTTTTTCTTATAGAAAATTTTTGATTTCAGTATTGTTGATCCACAGTTATATAATCCTGGAAAAACAAATTATGATCCAATGAATGATGCATGTTGGAAACTCGGTGAAAAGTAAATTAAAGATCTAGGACGTAATTGGTAAATTTTTCTATTTATATTTTAGTGTTCCATATAGTGCATTATCAGCAACATTATTATTAATTGAAGACACATCAGCTCGTTTAGAAATTATTCGTATTTTATCGAATTTTTTTCGTTCAGTTCGTTGTTTATCACCGAATGATTTAGCTCAATGTGTTTATTTATGTGTTAATAAAGTTGCACCTGAATACGAAGGAATTGAATTAGGTATTGGTGAAACTATTATTATGAAAGCTATTGCTGATAGTACAGGACGTACTCTTGAACAATTAAAATTAGATTATAAATCTAAAGGTGATTTAGGTCTTGTTGCTGAGGTAATTTTAAAATATATTTCTAGTTTTTTAAATAATCTTAATTGTTTTCAGGCATCTCGTTCAACACAACGTACGATGTTTAAACCAAAACCATTAACTGTTTCACATGTTTATAAAAAATTAAAAGAAATTGCACAATTGACAGGCAATAAAGTAAAAGTTTTTCTTCTATATAGAATTTTAAATATAACCATTTCCATTTTGTTTTTAAAGAGTCAACAACGTAAAGGTGATATAATAAAAAGTATTCTGGTCTCTTGTCAATCTCATGAAACTCGTTATCTTGTTCGGTCATTAGTTGGTAAACTTCGTATTGGTTTAGCTGAACAATCTATGCTTGTTGCATTAGCACATGCATGTATACGTAATGATTATTCAAATTTAAAAGAAACAGCATTAAAAGAACGTCTTGATAGTGGTACACTTGCTGTAAAAGATGCATTTTGCCAATGTCCATCATATGATATACTTGTTGATGTACTTGTTAATAAAGGTGGATTAGATAATATAAAAGAATTATGTAAAGCAACACCTGGTATACCAATGAAACCAATGTTAGCACATCCATCAAAAGGTATCGATGAAATATTAAAACGTTGTGGACAAAGTGAATTTGCTTGTGAATATAAATATGATGGTGAACGTGCACAAGTAATAAAAGAATTTTCCTTCTTTTGTTGAAAATTCTATTTCAAATGTAATTTTAGATTCATTTAACTGAACAAGGAAATGTGTATATTTATTCAAGAAACTCAGAGAATAATACATCGAAATATCCAGATATTATTGAACGAATTCCTAATGCATTTCAGCCACAAGTTAAATCTTTAATTTTGGATGGAGAATGTGTTGCTTATGATATTGAACAGAAAAAATTATTGCCTTTTCAAACATTATCAACACGAAAAAGAAAAGTAAGGTTTTTTTCGACAGAAGAATTTCAATAAGAAAATTTTAAAATCGTATTTTACTAACTCGTGCAAGACAATAACCTGTAAGGGATTGGAGAGAGCGACAGCCATGCGTATAAAAATCTCTCTCTGAAGCATATTCGACGTAGCATAGCATCGTTTTTAACGCTTTTTGCTGAGAAAAAAATAATCGAAATGGGGTGGCGGTCGCCGGATTGCCAACCATTGACCAATCACACTAGTATCTGTATTCATTTCTTTTTTTTTGTATTATACTATTTACATTAATCTTTTCGTAATAACTACAAAATTCAATATCATTTGTATTTATTGTTTTTTTTCAGGATGCTGATATTAAAGAAATAAAAGTTCAAGGTTTGTTTTCTTTAAAATCAATTTCTGTATTATTCTTCTATATATATTATTGATTTAGTTTGTATATTTGCCTTTGATTTATTATATTTAAATGGTGAATCATTGGTTGAAAAACCTTTTCGTGAACGTCGTCGTCTTTTACATGAATCACTTCGTTGTATACCAGGTGAACTTGTTTTTGCTGAATCACGTACAACATCAAATATTGATGAAATTAATATGTATTTGGAACAATCAGTTAAAGATGGTTGTGAAGGTCTTATGGTTAAGACATTAGATGATGATGCAACTTATGAAATTGCTAAAAGATCACATAAATGGTTAAAAGTAAGTTTTTTTTGGAATTAAAATAAATAAATTTTAACTTTAATTTATTATTTAGTTGAAAAAAGATTATCTTGATGGTGTTGGTGATACACTTGATCTTGTTGTTATTGGTGGTTATACAGGCACAGGTTAGTTTTTGTTTTTTTAGTATTATTAAATATTTTCTTTTTAATATAAAAATAAATCATTTACAGGTAAACGAACTGGTGTTTATGGAGGGTATCTATTAGCATGTTATGATAAAGATAATGAAGAATATCAATGTATTTGTAAAGTTAGTTTTAATCATTTCTTTTCTTTTGTCAGAAAGATTTAATAACATATGATTGATTATAGTTAGGCACTGGATTTACAGATGAATTACTTGTTTCACTTGGTCAATCTTTAGAGCCACATATAATACCTAAACCACTTGCTTATTATCGTTATTCAACGTCATTAACACCGGATATTTGGTTTGATGCAGCTAAAGTTTGGGAAGTTAAATGTGCTGATTTATCTTTATCACCAAATCATCATGCTGCAATTGGTCTTGTAAGTGAAATGATTTTTGAAATAGAAAATTCAAATGATAAATTTAATTGATTTAATAGGTTGATGAAGGAAAAGGAATATCTCTTCGTTTTCCTCGATTTCTACGGGAAAGAGAAGATAAATCAATTGAAGATGCAACAAGTGCTGAACAAGTTGCTGATCTTTATCGACGACAAGAAAAAATTAAAAAAATGGATGGTGATAATCAAGCTGATGACGAAGATGATATGTATTAACTGTTAAAGATATATTTTTGTGTACATTTTCTGTTCTATGTCAAATAAATATAAAAGAAAGAATGAATT